TCACAATTCTAAAAGTGACCGGGAAAATTACCTTGCAGCAGGTTTTCCAATTTTGCAAGTTCGCTATAAAGTGCCGGAAGGCATTTCTTGGTGTAATATTCAAGGTATTGGAACATTTCCTTTTTAGTAACTTCGATTTCCTCCTGAAACCGTTGAATTTCCATCAACTTATCCACCACAGATCGTCTCGTTACCAAAGGCACTATTGTATGAAAGGCACAATATATTCATATATAATGTACTACGCGTCCGGCAATTTATAATTATGTACGTACAAGTTCTATTTGCAAGCCTGGCTCAGTCTGTATACGAGAAACAGTAGCTACTCACACTCATCAACTGGCTCGTTCCGAGAATTCCATGGAAACTTTCCATTTAAAATTTCTTCTATGTTGCTTAGCGGTTCGTCTGCAATTCGATTATAATTTGAAATCAAAGAATGGATACTCTCTTTCTCTTTGCTGATCTTTCTCCTTAACTTATTTCGTTGCTTCGAAGAATCTTGAAGAAAATAATATTTGGTTAAAATGTTACCTTCCCTTTATCCCGCATGTGGAGGCTAATTTTCCGCGGTTTCGTTTTTTATGGGTGTTTTACTCGCACGGAAACGTTGGCTTTAAATGTTACTACTGAAATAAAGGAAGAGACACTGAAAATGTAGCTATTAAATGTAGAACCACCTGCAAGTTTTGCAATGTTAAATGCCAGATGAGAGATCGCGTTATGATGGAATTCCATATTGTATCTCAAATATTCCAAAGATTTATTTTTTAAAACACCTTCACCAAAGGAATAATTGCGACAGATCTTGGGCTGAAACTGTTTAGATTTTTCCTTATAAATCTTTTCAGCAACGTCAAACAAGGCCTTCTCTTTTGGCGTTAACACATCTAATGTGAGCAAATGACATATGTATTTCATTTCCTCCGGAGTTATGGAATATCTTTTATTTCTCGATTTTTCATCCACTGACATAAATTTGAAAGAGAAAAAAGAAACACGTCGTCATTGCACGAAAAAATTACACCAAGACATCGCATTCTGAGAAGAGCATACCTAACGTTTTTAGTTTTATTATTTATAATAATAGATTCGCCACAGTATCATGTACTGCATGTAAACTGAACAAAACTACACAAAATTCTATACGTACGTTTAGCAGCGTCAAATATATCTTCTTTCCATTTCTGTAATGTTGTTGGATCACACTCAAGTTTCTCTGACATGCTTTCTAATTCTTTCTGCATGATGGCGGTTTTATCTTTAGCCTAGAACCATGCATATAAAAGTACAGAACACATTATTATTTTTCCAAGAGAAGATTATACATTTCAGTACTCCCCTTTCCGTGCATGGGAAATTTGCATTGCATCTACATATTTTTCAATCCTCCACGCTTTAAATTTCTACCCACACCTTTTTTTTTAATAAATTTGTTTCTGTCTTATTTTTTGACGAAAACTACCGAAACGGATTTGGCAAAGTATTTGTAGCTATGTTATGTGACAAGGGGGGATTTCGTTTTAAACTATTCGGCATATTTGCTTACACTTTTTAGGCTAAGCCAATCAGAATGCCTAAATTTTTAATACATCATGTAAAATGATGATTATTCTGATTGGGTTACTGAAAATGTAAACAAACTTACTGATTGGTCTAAAACGAAATTTCCCTTGTTATGGTTTCCCTTGTTATGGTATAGTTACTATTACTATTAGGTAAAAAATAGAAAAATTAATAACTTTTGTATATCTTTTCGCAAGAATACTTGACAGTTTGGTTATTTTTCTTTTATTCCACTCCAGTGCATGTTCAGTCAGCAATTCCTCTCGTCCTATGTATGCATACATCAGAATTAAACGTTTAACTGGTTTGATAATTTTATTGCACATGCTTACCTTCAGGTAACATATGCTTGGTAGTGCACCCTAACCGCGAGAAATGACTGTTAATCTGTTCTACTTCCTCTCCTGTTGTTGCAGAAGCGCCATCTTGCCATCGCCCTCCCCAAATAACCTGCAAAAAAGATTACACAATGGACACTGCACTTGACTGCACACTTGCCACGTACGAAATATAATAAGCACAAGGAAATTTACCTGGCAATACCAAGCATGTGCTTTGGCATGCATTACGGAAAGAGCAGGTTTCATCTTTTGAGATGTGGTTACATCATTTTTACACAGCCAAGGCCAATACTTGCAGATGACATCATACCAGAAGAATTGTGTTGTACGACGAAGGTAATATTCCTTTTGCATATAATGTGCATAGCCATACACTTCTCCGTGCTTCATGCTAACTGCATGCTGGGCAACACTGTGACGACAGCCAGCAATTTCTAGCCCAGTTTCATCAACAATTTTCTTTTTCTTCAAAGTATTTCCAGCAGCATGCCAAATAGAATCGCCACACTTAGAATCATCTGTGACCTAGGGTAAAGTATAGCCGAATTGAAACAGCTCGATTTTAGATTATTTTTATACGTACAGTAGATCCACTTGGTATAAAAATAATCTAAATATTTGTTACAAATCATAGCATTACGGTCAGAAACTTCCCACACCAAATGTCACACATTGATATTTAATGGGACTATTGTTCTATAATTGTTTTGAGGTAAACGAAAATTCGTATTGTTTGAGAAGACAAATTGTAACAATACCTTTTCCTTTCCTTTTTTGTAAATTTTACAGAGATGATGTTGAACTTTTTCATTTGAAGCAATAAAAGCATCTCCATAGTAGCAATCTCTTTTCCTGCTAAATAATTTCAATTTATCCTCTTTAAAACATACATATGATGAAATAACTTTGAAACTCTTTCTAGGTGATATACAAGACGCATTTCAGTTGTATATGAGCTGACGATTTCCCTCCAAGCTAGTGCATTCCTGCAATGCATCGTCTGTGATTCAGTGTACAAAATGTACTTACATCCCAGCAGATTTGTACCGATAAAGTTTCATGTTACCATCCATGTGAACGGAGTGTTGCTGCTGTTCACATGCAGGGCACTCCATCCAGTTAATATGCCGTAGTTTGTTCAATTCATATTGGCAATATTTCCATTCACGAAAAGAGCTACCAAATGTTTTGCTGTTAATTGTTCCCATCTATATAAAAGATAGAGAAAGATACATCAAACTAATATCTGTACAACTATTTAACTACTGAGGCAATTAGCAAACATAATCATAAAAGAACAGGATTCCATTTTTTGCATGAAGCGATACATTGAAGTTGATACTTAGAAGTTGGTTTAAACGTACCCGCCCTTTTTGTATCGAAAACATTTCTAGTGATTTCACAAAACTATTTTGAGAAATTCCAGGAACAATCTTCTGTAAATTATCCCAGAAATGAAAGAGATCTTGGTGAAATACATATGTCATGTCACGAATAGTTCCAGGCCAAAACCCCAGCTGTATTAAAACATGGGGACTTGTTGATGAAATAACATTGTCACATTGTTTACATTCATATTTTGTGTGACTAATGTCGAATCTACCTGAAGATATAATAATAAATATTTAACCAATTAGCACAAAAATATAAGTTTTGAGTTCCATGATAGAGATCAACATTTGGCCTATAAAGCCTATCTGAATAGCATCATCTGGTTTGAATCTTGCAGGAGCTAGGTTCAGCCTACATAATGTATCATTTATAGCTACAGTATAAAACTATAGAATCTATTTCAGAAAGACAATGTTTTTGTGAATAAAAAAGACAACTAAAATAGCATACCTTTCAATGTTACAGCAATGCAACCCATACCCTTCTCATCATATAAAATATTGCAAGGAAATAGGCATGTGGGACAAATAACATCACCAAATGGAAGGGACCGTTCTAAAAAATACATAGACAATTCATATATTTTCAGAAACTGTTTGAAGAACCCTCTAAAAATGGCAGAACTTTCCTACCAAGGGAAAACATTATCTCACACCTAGAGTTTCACAAAGATGCTGAGATAATACAAAGATAATACTGACTGGTCAATTTTTTTTACAAATTTCATGTGACAAATATGTTTCTGTGTTTCTTTATTTGAAAAAGACCTAATAAAATTTTTTATGAGAAAATTTGCCAATGAATATTTACTCATGTAAAATGAACTTTAGGTTTGACATAAATGCTAAATAGATCATGCTAAATTTCATATTTAAAGAGCATCTTGAGAGTATCACGGTCACAATGCACCTTTTGACACAAGGTATAAGTTACATCTTTTTAGCCATGCTATAATATTTACCAACAGTAATCCATTCCAGTTTGCTGTTAATTGAGGCTGTTGGAGGAATAGGTTCATGAAAACCATTCAAAATTGCATCTCGATCATGAAATGGATGGTTCTTATGGTTCTCCTCATCACAATCCCCACAGACATATCTATGTGAAATGCAGTCTTGACATCCAATAACTGCCATGGCATCTTTACAGCTTTCGCATAACAATTCATCAAAAATGCCAATGGAAAATTTAGTTTGCAGCAAAACTTCGATTAAACTACTTCTGACTTCCTCCCAGCTTTCATAAAGGGAATTTTGTCTTTCATGCCAGGTTCGTTTCTTTTGCTGACCACCACATTTCCAGTTACATAATAATCCTTTTGCTTCTTCAAGGATATCATTCATTGTCACATCTAAACAAAATCGATGATACTGCTTTAAAAATGAGCTGCTAGGTAGAATGCCACAAAATCATTGTACACCATATTACACCATTAAGTTTAATATACATTCGATAAACCAAGTTTTGTAAAGTAGCAGGGTCTTTAAATTCCAATATATAAATGCATAAACAGTATCCATATTGGAAAGTTTGCAATATGTGTGAATGATGAGTCACAATCTTCCCTGCACACAGCCAATCTAGCAATGTGGCAGCATGTGTATAATGTCTAGTCAGTAGTCACAGAGGACACAAAGCTATACGAACGTTGTTTAGATAATAAATATTGACTTTTAGCACATCATATTTTACAATAGCGGTTCAAAATGTCAACAAAGCGGATAAAAACTTCACAGCATTTTTAGCTGTTGTAATGTACATATTTATATTAGATCCATACCCTCTACAGCGTTTTGTCGTTACATCCATATCTGATTCACGATCCAATAAACTTACTTCTGGTGGTTCTTGTTCTACGTAAAAAGTGACAAAATAATAAATCATCCGAATGATGGGACCTATCTGGCGTAGGTTCTGTGTAAAATGTTACAAACAGAAGCATACCTTGGAAAATATTATCGCTGTGTTCCTCTAAGTTTTTTGATCTTGAACTAGAGGCGGTATCATCGCGATTATAATACTTTGGATTGTAAGTATTTTTGCAACTCCGTTGGCCAGTTTTTGGATCCGTGCTATACTCATAATGAATAGGCTTTCTTCTCTTTTTTCGCTTTTCTAAAATATCATTACCTTGCCTAATAAGACAATCCATGGAAGGGAGTTTCTTCTTGCGAGCATTGGCAGCCCTTTCAAAATTCTCCGCCATTGTGAAAGATTTGAGTTGGTTTTGACCCAGTTTCTTTCCGTTTCATAATGCTCGGCCACGCGTCGCGAAATTATTGTTTTAGTAATTTCGGATGTGTTTAAGAATTTATTGATATAATAAATTTAGAAGTGGAGCTCATGTTGGATGTGAACCGAGGCCCTTAAATTTGTCCTCATTAGCACCTTCCAAAATTTTACTGCATGTTAATACCCCCTCTCCTCTCTTTATATATTTTATATTAACGTCAAATTCTGTCACGTCTACGATTCCTGTTGTCAATTTCACTAATAGTCGTTTTGCTTTAAACAGTCCGTCACCTAAGAAAAAGAAGAAACAGGGAAAATTTTAACCTTGTTATCACTTACTTTCCGGTACTATTCGTAATTTATTCTGCTTATATAATTAACAATTATACCACGAGCTCGAGTCGTAATATGAGCTGATAGCCGACGAGGTGCGTAGCACCTCGTCGGCTATCAGCCATATACGACGAGAGCGAGTGGTATAATTGTTTTATAATATAGCCAAGTCCGTTTGTTGAGCGGCAAATATATTTATTAACAATTTAATACATATTTACATAAAAATAAATAATTAATTCAATTATGTGGGGCACTTCCGGCATGCGTATTAATATGGATGTAATTTATATTTTTGAAACGAACAAACAACGTTAAATTTTAATCTTATTTTTGTAAAATACTGGCAAAAAGTACAACATTTGTGAAATTAAACAGATTACAACTATTATTACAACTAACATAGTGTTCGATAAACTACCCTTAAATCAAACCGTCAGTTGTAAATTTGAACATTGCAGCTGTGGAAATTGAACGTGGGGCCGCTTGGTATGATTGTTGTTTGCTTGTTTAATGTTATTGTATGATTGTCACCATCTGATTTCAATTGAACCGGCGATTGAAGGCTAGAATCGTTGTGGAAACACTTTGACTGCGAGGAAGATTGAGATGCAGCTGTTTCTGGTCGAATGTAGTTGGCCAGCGTGCTCGACATTATTTCTTGTTGGTTTATCGAAGGACGACTGTTGTATGATTCAATGGACTGATCGGATTTATGGCCGGTGACTGATTTAATATAATGGGTTTGGATATGAGCTTCGGCAAGGGCAGTTACGGAGGTAGCTCGTATGCAGTGGTTGGTTAACGGTGGTTTGATGCCTGCTCGGGATGTCATATTGAGAAGCATTTTTCCTAAAGTTGACTCTCCGACTGGCGAATTGCAGTACCAAATAATGCCATTTTTCTTATTCGGTCGCTGGAAAAGGGCATCACAATTGGGATTCAGGTGTGTCAAATAATTCTGAATTGTGGCTACAGGACAGAACTTTGAATCTGGCTGGGCAAATATTTTCCCATCGGACTCGTCCTCGACATCGGTTAAGCCTCCTTGGTGGTTTTTTGTCGAAGGAATTGAACCAGCAACTTCTCTATTGAGCTCCAAATACGACTTGCCGTCTGCTGTTGCTCTTAAAATCAGCATGTTGGGTTTGAGATTTCTCTGGTTTTCTCGTCCTCTACGTCCTAAGTAAATTCCAAGATAAAACCAAACGGTGCGAAGCAATTGTGATGGATCGTCGCTATCGGCTGGGCCTAATTCACCGATGTCAAACAACAACTGGATTTGATCTTTCGTAATTGCTTTTTTGTGGACAACACCAGCAATCTTCCCAGTTTTCCTGAGGTCTTTTACGAATGCATCTAACATAGAATTTGCTTCATTGAATGCTGGGTCGCCAATGATGGAAAATGGCTTGTTGTTTGGAGGATTTTTCAAAAACCTGTCAATGGCTGCACGGATGCTTTTCATCGATGATTTCTTATAGTACGAGCCGTCAATTTGCCTCGCTGATGTATAAAACAACTTTAAACAAGAATTCAACTCAGCTGTAGACATTTCAGTAATATAATAACCTCCAGAATAAGTGGGACAGGTATAAAGCCAATCTAATAAATTGAAATATAATTATTTTCTACATTTTTACTTCACTCCTTTAAATGTTTTCATGTGAAATATTATTTTAAAGTCCATTTTTATGAAGAAAAACATTTTTTGTTAGGCTTTATTCTTACCATTAAATATTTTCATGCCATATTTGGTGGATTTTTTTGTGTTTCTGGTGACAGCAGCCTCCAGAATTATGTCAATTTCTCCTTCATTTAGCTCTGCAAACCGATCAGCCATTTTGCTTTTTCTTTGCTTTTGCTACCCACCGTATAGACACCGCGGAAATTGGTATAGGCTTAGCCGCAATTCTCGATACTTAGACTTCAAACTTGGTGAGGAAAAGATTTATAAATATTCAAGAAAATATGTCTTGCACAAAAGATTTGAAGCTTGCTCACGGTAAAAACGAATCGTCTGAATTAATAACCTTGTGTATACTTTAAGCCTCAAAATGGCCATTTCACAGCGGTCAGATGTGTATGATGAGCTGTCAAAAGATTGCAGAATGCGTATTCAGAAGAAAAATTGAACTTTTTTAAGATATTCAAAAGGTTTCTCTTTGATAGGGCGATACAGAAATGCACAATTGTGAACCAGCGATTAGATTTTCGGGTTGAAACGTCTTAAACACCAATTTCTGCGGTGTCCACCGTATATGAGCTGATATACGGTGGGTAGCTCGACCAATCAGACTGCACAATAGCTCATATACAGTGAGTAGCTATATTATAAATGATTTTATTCTTGCTATGCAGGCGGCAAAATATTGACTATACAGGTAGCCTAGTATCGTGGTTTTCCATTAACGGAAATAGCGAGTATATGCGCACTGCACGCCATTTCGGACACGGACGTGTAATTTCTATCATTAATTGTAGACCCTCTGCTCGCGGGATTCAGCAGGGAATTCAGGACTGGGGAAAATATTTTGCCAAATCCCTCAAGCGTTGGGTTGATAAATGAGACAGAATCAGGGCCGTAACTAGAACGATAATTGGGGGTGTTTATTTATATATTCAGAACTGCCTGACGGATTTCCATTATGAGCTATTGCACTTACAAAAGAAATCCGTCGGGCAGAACTAAATATATGAATAAACACCCCCCCCGCCCAATTATCGTTCTAGTTACGGCCCTGGACAGTATACCGCAAAAGTACTTTGAGCTTGTAGAATAGCCAAACATGCCGTACAAAGGTTTGGAAAATATTTCTATAAATCCGTAAAAGTATTCAAAAAAGACGTAAAAAATTAGCATCGAACGGATTTTAACATACATATGTTCAAACTTTTCTGTATAACTCTCGTAAAGAATGCGGCTTCTTTCTCGTGAAAATTGCTATTTTTTAATTATAAACAAACAACAACACTGTGTGCGTGTAGTCCTCGCGAGACGTTGCGTGGGATAAATTTAATACCACAGTGAGATAAATATAATGTAAAATGCCTAGCTCGGAAATAGGGGAGTGGGATGCAATACCCCGAAAAATCTCTTCGTCAAGTTGTATAAATAATGTTTTTTGATTCGAAAATTTGAATTTGAGGTATATTAATTTTCAGTATATATAATATGATATCGGAGCAAAAAAAGAGTTGCCGTAAAGTTTGTTTTTGCCCAGATAGGTGAAATAATTAAGGCTTATCGGCTTGGATATTAGCAACCACTGAAAATATACTTAACTTCGCTAGCTTAATCTTGGAGGTTCTTAGAATATTATCTTACACGTAATTCTCGGCATAAAGCAGTAAATGTTTCTTGTTAAATTGACCAAAAGTTAAGCGACGACTTACAGTTCAAAGGGCGAACGTAAATATTTATTCCCTTCATCCCAATTAGAACTCGACAAGAAGCGTGATCATGAACTTTTCTTTTCTTTTTTTTAAGAATAATGGACGACTTGCGCTTTCGAGTAATTTCTTACCTCGGCAATAAAAAGGACATTTTCTGAAAGATCTTACTTAAATTAGTGCAAATGCAAAGTTTGGCTGCGAAATTTTGTAAAATACGGAAAATATAGCCACGCGAAGTTGTCGATTTTTGTATACTTTTGTATTACGTGCGGAAATGTGTAACTAAATTAGTTACACACTTCCGGTCGTAATTCAAAAGTATACAAAATTTGCCAACTTCGCGTGGCTATATTTTCCGTATTTTACAACATTTCGCAGCCAAACTTTGCATTTGCACTAATTTAAGTAAGATCTTTCTAGCTGTCATGATTTATTTTCTTCTAGTTACTTCGATCAAAAATTTGTCTAAAGCGCAAGTCGTCCATTGGTTTTGGTTGTTTTGACCATGATTTTGGTTTTAGTATTGATTGATGCAGTCTGATAGTGGTTTCTAGCTTTCATCAACGGCACAAATACGGATATTCCGACAGCTACTAGCAATTTTTTAAGCGTGAAACCAGAAGAATAGATATAGATGGACTGCATGTATTCATAATTCTGGGCGACAGGGTTAATACGTAAATTTATGATAGTTTTATAGTTGTTCAGATAAAACGACCCTTTTTCGTAGTCTTTTCTTCCAAATAAATTATATTTATTCGCAGGAAACACAACAGTGAAAGCAACTGTTTGTCGGCAATTTTTTCTACGCTCAGCGGTGATTAAGCGACCCTTTTTACTTTTAAATTGTCACTTTTCTGTATCTGGGGTCAAGCATATTAATGCCACACGGATGTTCAACATAATATTTTTGCTGTTTTGTGCTAATTATTCACCGCAAGATATGCCGATCAGATGCCTAATTATTCAGGTAACGGTAGTTGTGTACATATACTTACTTCGCAATTTAACTTGAAACTTGAAAATTAACCAGATTCAATACAGGACTTCAACCTCAAAAGGGGTGAAACGATAGCTCCCCGCAAGGAGAGAACTCGTGTTGGGTTTGCCGTATACGTAACCAGTTGGAGGTTCGTAGGTGTAACCAAAGGCTGAGTAGGAATATCCGTTGGTTTGGGGGTTTTTGGAAATGTAGAGATCATGGGCCCAACCGAGAGTTGGCCCGTATGTATCATATCGGTAAATTGCATACACATCATTCTCATTCTTTAGCAGAGACTTGAATGGAGGAAGATTGTCGTTATTACGAAGAGAAAACATAAAGGAACTTGGAGCAGATGCATATCCATCTGTAAAATATGCAATATAAACTCTAATTACATACTTGATTATCCCAGATTTCTGTAATATTAGACTATAAACATAACTAAACCATTTCCATGATTAACAACATGCGCTGTAATTATAATTACATGTTACAAAGTAGACGGTCCATTAGGGCCAAAAATTATGCGCAAAGTACGTAACAAATATGTATACTGTCCCATTTTTTATGGTTAGTAGGGGATTTAACAACACATATATTGGGCGATATTTCGTGTGTGAAACCCGCGTTTATCAATGGACGATCGCATAATTGACCAACTTTTGATTTAGGCAACAAAAAGGAAATTTCCGAAATGTGCATTCTAAATTTAGTAAAATTACGAAGTTTGGCTGCAAAAAATTGTAAAGAACGGAAAATATAGCCATGCGAATTTGTTAATTTTGTATACTTTTTTATTTACATGCGCCAATTACTTCTTTAAGATTTAAAAATTACTAATTTAGCAGAACGACACTAGTGTACTATACGTAAATGCTGTAATTTTAATGGCTGCTATACTCGCTATCTATTCTTCGATAGGCAGCCAATTAGTCTATATGACCTGTGAAGGAGTTTTTGCGTTTCATTTAGAACAGATTATACCTGAGTTGTTTTAGGCTAAACTTGGCATAATTATGTGCACAGCAAAATCCGAATAGTAGCTTTAAGGGGTGGTCATTGAAAAGCAAAGTTAGGAAAATGAATGACCGTTTTCACACTAGAGATGCATAATGAAACCCGCGCGAATAGATTACATTAGAATTTCTTGTTTATTTTGTCACACTCTCATTTTCCTGAACTATTCGTCCATGTGCCGTCTTCACACGGACAGACGGATTATTCGTCTACACGGATACAACTATCGTTGGTCATGCGTCTCTGAGTCGAAAAACTTATAGAATCGTCTGGACGTATTATGCGTCTGTTGTCCGTCTTTATACTGAAGACGAATAACCAAAGAAGACGCATTATGCGTCTTTAGTGTGAAAACCGCCAATGTGCGCCATATCGGGTCAACTGCAAATTATGCGTGAAAATAAACCCGTTTACCTGATTTACCGATTTTGCATGATATTAAAAATTACTAAGCCCTAATTATTAAGCCAACTAATATTTTAGCTAAGGCGCACTAAAAAAGCGGGTACAAAAAACGCCATATTTAATGATTAGACGCTTAGTTCCAGCTTTAAAAACAACTGTTTACCCTATGGCCTTATCCAATAATTGTTTTCTATTTCATTTTCATAACTGGTTGGTAAGCGAAACCGTTTTGTTATAAGCGGGAGCAAACAAATCACGGAGCAAACACAACATTTAAGTTTTTTGTGTTCTGAAGTAATTGCACTGACGAAGGCCCAGGCTAAGAGTCCAAGAAATTATATGAGAAAATAGAGCCATCTAATGTGAGGAGATCTCACGCGACAACTTGCTAATTGCTTGTTCAACTTCCTCTGAATTGCTCTACTTATCACTAATTCCTGCCACGTACGCCATTAAATAATTCTCACGCAAATCGCACGATTGCGGTAACTGAAAAGATTCATGCATGCACCTTACACACGAAATTCTAAATAAATATAATAGTAAAATTTACGAAGCTGAAAGAAACATGGTATATAAAGGATAATAATACACTCTAAATTTCGAAGTGTCCGACAAACACCAAATAAGTGTAAATACACACAATTTTGGTGTAAATCAGTATATTACACCCACAAAGTGCAAATTTACCCTTCGAGGTGTATTATTACACCAATATTGTGTTTTGTCAACACCGGTTAAGTGTATAGCTAAAGTTAATCTTCTTTGGCGTAAATTTACGCCAAAAGGCGGTAAATAAACACCGTTCTTGTGTAATAAAGCACCACTTTGGTGTAAACATTATCGCTATAATTTTGTGTTGAATGAGAGCTTGGGCGTGCATGCACTGGAAGCTTTTGTCGGAAAAAAATTGGAAATGGATTAGGATTATCATTTTTTATATTCCTAAATAACTGGGCAAAGAGTCAAGTCAAGAAAGCAATTGTTTTCTTAAAATAAGCAAAGCTAATTCCAAAGTCTTGGAAAAAAGATTTGTTCTTTGTTTATATCTTTCTTTTCATATTCAGAAGAGATGACGGTTTTGATGCAAACGCGACGGTTTTGACGGTTTCAACATTCTGAATAAATCCCGTAACGCCGTAACTCGCGCAAAGAAATGTTGATAGGATTGCACCAGGATTGCACGCGCTCTCGATGCATGCCGGGATAGCGTCTCTTCGCAGTTCGCACGATGCACGTTGTTGTTTGTTCCTTTGCAAAGTATAAATCGAGAAGTATTTTGAATGTATATTAAATTTTACTGGACATTATGATACAAGATTGCCTGGAGAAGATCGAGGAATTGTTTTAAAAGTGACTGGGAATCTCAGTCATCTCAGAGGTAAGGTTTTAAAATTATAATACGCGCAAACAGACGAAAGCTATATTTGAATTTCGAATTTGCCGCGTAAACAGTGTACGTATTTAACAGAAATATTCACAGTTTTACTACTCATTCCCACCAAAAAAATTAATGATTTATAGAAATATGTTATGCCGTGGTTATACTATAGGTACTATGCCATAATTTATAAAGTGTGATATTATTGATGTAATGATGTTGGCGAAACCATGGTCAAATGCATGAATTTATGTTATATAAATATTTACATGAAACTGATTGAAACATCTGCCATAACAGATTTACTCAATCTTAGGATTATGATGTACTGAATCTTAGGATATACATTAATTTTGATTAAGAATTTGGATGACATAGCTGTTATATTGCCCTTTAAATAATTTTTATATACATCCTTAGATGGTGGATTATAAACAAAGTGCCAAGTGTCATCTAAGTCTGTAATAAACGAGCAGGAAAGTATGGTAAGTAATGTATTATAAGGAATTGTGCAATGCTGTTGGATTATTCACCAAGCATATGGCTCAGTTTTAATTGTATAATAATATAATAATAGCACTAACATGATATATGCCTAAGATACCTTTGTTGTATTTGTATTTTTAAGGTGCCAAGGTCTTCCATTTGATGAAAAATGTCAACTTAATATTCAGTGAATCTACTAGTTCAAGAAAAGAAACAAGAAAAGAAGGCATTTGACTTGGTTTAAGGAAATATAAGGTAAGAAAATTATCAGTTCAATGTTCATGTATCATACAAATTGCAAATTCATTGTGTATTTCACTTCCATTATTTGCATCTTATTTATAAACAATTGATTATATAGTTAGTTATCATGTAATAGATAAAAGGGAAAATCATTGACAGCTTACCAGATGAACATTCGCTATCTAAATTTTCAAATATGGTTGCTTTTTTCTTTATTAGGAACATGGATTAATTGAGGTAGTACTAGTGTGCGAGAAACTCAGTGGATGAGTGGAAAGTCTCCTCTGTTAATGGTTAATTGGATTCACAGTGTTGCAGAACTTAATTTTCCAGGAAAAAAATACTCCAGGTGATCTTATAAATATGCTCATGTTTGGGAGGCTTATACAAACTTTACAACGCCCCTACATTGAATACCCGAAAGAGTGTAGCAATACATTTGTCTTTTTACAAAGGCAAATGCTGAAGGTATTTGATACCCAAAAGGTACCAACAAGACTTCTTGTCAGTTGATTAATGAACTGTCAAAGTTTTAAAAAAATGAACTGATTATATGCAGGAAAGGAGGGTTGTAAATATTAATATTAAAGTTAGGTTAGAGGGCATATTTGTCCATTCAATTTTTTATGCAAATAAAATTGTTGCTTCAAGAAGTTGCAGGTCTGTTTGTTGTTTATATAGGAATGTTATATGTGTGAATACAATATTTGTCAAACACACCTTATGGTGTATATTCACCTCAAAAGGTATAAATATACACCTTTTAGTGTAAATATACACTTATAATGTTTCCCCCAACTTGGTGTATAAATACACCCATGGTGTATATTGATACTGTAAAGTGTAAATAAACCCTCTTACAGTGTAAGTATACACCTTTCAGTGTAAATACAGAGGCAAGAGCATATACACCAAAATTGGTGTAAATATACCCCGTTGAGTGTATATTGACCTTTACGAAGGTGTATATTTGCACCTCTTTTGGTGTTGGTAGGGAGGCAGGAATTTACACCTTTTTTGGTGTTGGCACAACACTTCGAGATTTAGAGTGTAATAATTATAAACAATAGTAAAATAGTTGATATAATAATCATCAGGGTCTTACCATTTCCAGCCCATGAAGTAGTTGCATATCCACCAAATATAAAATTCTTATTATCTTTGACAACCTTAACAATCGTCAATGTCGGTGATTTTCCATCGCATAGAGAATGAAATGTTGAAGCTTCCCATCCATCTCTTGATGCACGCCAACAAATATTCCAGCCTTTGTTTGATGGCAACCATTCACTCAAATTTCGATCGAGGTCAGCAGGCTCAATTCTCAATATTTCTTAAACGCAAATATTTTGGTAAATACAAATGACTTGAAATTGACGAAGTTTTGAGTGCATTTTAGTAGTATTGCACTTTTTTCTACATTAAATTTAGATGACCAACGCTAATGAAATACAAAAATGCAATGTATAAATTAACATATCGTTCGAATATGTTCCCTGAGGCGGGTCTGTTCAGTTCAGATTATACCGCGTCGAATATGCATGGGCACAAACATTCGCACCAGGCAGAAGACAGCAAGTTGTCCAAAGCTAATTATTATGTGGTTAAAGAACAAAATTTTACAAAAATATAATCTTTATTTACTATTATTTAACTTTAGCCATTTTATTTATTAGATTATTTTGTTCTGGTAAGTTTAATTTATCCGATATATAGCCACGTCGTTTAGTTCTGGTAATTTTGTAACATTGGCGTCTTTCATTTAAACAGTCGAGTAAATTCCCAAAGTCGTGGTTTAAACATACGCGATTCATACCACACCACATATTTAACCTTGCTCCAGCGATCTTCTGGATTGTCTATTCTCAACGGCACGTGTGATGGTAGATAAACTATATAATTATAGCTAACTTAATTCAAAAGACCTCGTAAGATGTTTTCTCACCTAAAAAATGTTCTCTTAGTGGCTAAGCTGAGCGAGCGCGCAAGGAGTTCTGGGGAGGACGCGACGGAAAAATGGAGCGCCTGGCAGAAATACGATTTCTGACAAATCGAGCTTTTTGGCGTTTTATACTCGTGTGCTCTTGCGGTTTTTGGTGGTTTGTGGCCATATGGATGACCTGGAGCAATCGCTGAAGAAGTTCTCATTTGACGGTGATAATTTTCTACAGAATTACATAATATTTAATTATATAAGATAATATTTAGTACGTTTTTAAATATGCTAATAATAAATTATCTTTCTGTCCGTCAACTGTCATCATTTTATGATGATAAAATTATCCTTACACAAGAATCTTCAAGTTCTGATGCTGATTTGGATTTATCGCCGCTTGGGGGGAAAAATGTTCAAAGTAAGTCAGTTAGTAAGCGTTGGAAATTTATTCTCCCTGCTTAGTACATTAAGCTGATATATTTTCCATTTACATTAACATATATTTATGCGCGTGTTACTATGTTTTTAAACGTCATACAGTATGTATATTTCAAATACTTTTCATGCCAGATAACTTGGCCAGCTCTGCCATATTTTTAATAATAACAGCAGTGAAACCTAAAGTTGACATTTACCTTAATTTGCCTCACAGCATGTCTTCGATTTTTATAGGCCCCAACACGTTCCCTGTGTGTATAACAATAAGTACTGTACACATGTTCCCCATATAATATACCAATGTGTGAAATAACTCGACAATCTAGGAGATCATTTTAACCAGAATGAAAATCCTGCAACCATTGCTATTTTTTAATGACTGTGTGCAAGTTGGAAACTTCTACCTATTTCATATAGTCATCTCCTGCTGGAGATGTCTGCTTGAACACTGAGTCAAGCAGGCAATCTTCTCTTGCGGACGGATTTCCGGGTCAATGAACTACCACATTAAAATTTAATTAATTTATTTATAATTCATATAAATTATACACGATATAATAATTATATTATGCCATATTACGATTATAATTCACATATGGTTTTTCACACTATAAGAGGTAGAGAGGAGGGGGTTACAGAGATTGCTAGAAAATAATTATATTTAAGTATTCTTTTTGTTATTGCCATTTACATGCAACCTCATGGGTTATGCCCAACAGGTTATGATACATATTGGTGAGCATAGTTTTTAAAGCACCTTTTGTAAAACATTTAGAGCCTGATGCTACTAGGCAACAGTTAAAAAAGACCAGGAAAACATCCGCTGTCTCTGCATGTTGTTGAATCGAATAGGTTTGCATGTAAGTATTTTGTAATATATGTATTCAACTTTATAACCTCTTCTCTTATCACATTTATAATGAACTTGCATGGGTGTTAACATAATTTTTTTTTAAATCTTTTTAATGCCATAGACCAATTGCGAAACTTCGTAACCGCGCCTTCGCTCAACATGGAAACGAGGCTTATTATGCAAAAAACAATATTTGTATTTTTTGCAGTGCAAAGCTATTCGCCGAGTTATATGCCGTTTTTCGCTTTTGTTTTACATATTTTTCGATTCCTTTCAGCTTGGTTTCATCGTTGTTATCATAGTTTTCAGGTTAGGAAGTTTTGCCTTTCAATTGAGGCGTTTTTGTGGTGTTTTCATTAATCTTTTCGGCTGCTTTCGTCGGGGAAATATAGAAAAGGCCGACACAAACTCAGGTAAAATTTTAGTTTTTCCAAACTATTTCGTCTCAAGTTTTGAAAATGTATTTCATTTTTCTCCCTCTTATTTGTGCAAAATTTGACGATGTATATTTGGTGCAAAATCTATGTTTTTTTTATTCGAAAAGTCACGATCGAACAAACCACCATGTTCACATTTCTCATTTAAAATTTTTTTATACCAATTTTATCGATCGATAAGATGTAATTTGACAGCAATTTTACAGCTCAGCAAAAAAAAATAGTAGAAATCTGTTGACAAATACTATAACAGATAAAATAAGCAACGGAATTTTATGTTTATTTTCCCTGTGTATATAGACTACAGTACATGTGATGTGATGCCGACTCAAAAGCAACACAACTCTTCAACTTGGCACACATGCATGACATGGATAGCAAAATACTTATAACCAAGACATAATATCATTGTGTATTTTGAATTGCCATTTGAATATTCCTTTTCCCGCAATAACATACTATAAAGGTAGCCACAATGCGAGCTGCAGCGTTTTTTAAGATACACCTTTACATGATGGCAAAGCCGAAAGCGAAAAATATTTAAACCGGAGTTCGCAAGTGTTTTTCCGTTTACGATGGTGAACGGAATCCTTTCCTTTTCAAGTATTCCTGGTTAAACCTTATTAAACATCTATTGCATGGTAGTAGATAGAAAGAATAGTGTTTTGTACTAACAAAAATGCAGAATTCAGATGCAAACTCAGATGCATTCGAATTCGACTTTTATAAAATTCGGCCTTCAGGCCGGCATGCAAGCTATGCATCGTCTCTACTTTATTAAAACGAATATAAACAAAAACATTTCAGTCAGTTACTTTAGACCATTTTAACAGTATTTCTGTGGTATAAAGAAAAAAAAATACAGTGATATTTGTGAAGAAATTTGGATAAATGAAGCCATTTCAGTCATCAGGTTTGAAAATTATATAATCTGACTGTCATTTTTCAATAATTTTTGACATAAATAACATAGATTTTGCACCAAATATATATCGCCAAATTTTGCACAAATGAGAAGGAGAAAAATGAAATAGCTACATTTTCAAAACTTGAGACGAAATAGTTTGGAAAAACTAAATTTTTACCTGAGTTTGAGTCGGCCTTTTCCATACTTCCCCGACGAAAGCAGCCGAAAAGATTAATGAAAACACCAAAAAAACGCCTCAATTGAAAAACAAGACTTCCTAACCTGAAAACTATGATAACAACGATGAAACCAAGCTGAAGGGTATCGAAAAATATGCAAAACAAAGGCGAAAAACGGCATATAACTCGGCGAATAGCTTTGTACTGCAAAAAATACAAATATTGTTTTTTGCATAATAAGCCTCGTTTCCATGTT